AACACATCTTTATTTATATGATACTTAATAAAATTACTCATAACTTATCATTTTTAATAATCGCGCGAAGCGCGTATAAGTTCACTAGTTTATTAATATAATAAAATCTTATTATAACAATTATTCATTATAACGAGATTTTTTCATGTTATATTTATTTTTTTTTCAAATGGTTGATTGATTTTCTTTTTACAAATAAAAATTGGGTCACTTTGTTATATAATTACCTTAGTTAAGTGAGTTTTCTATTACATAACAATGAATAATTTTTTGATATAATTACATTAAAGGACTTTTTTGTTACAAAAATAAATTTAAATGAATCTTATGATAAAAATATCACTATTTAAGTAACTCTTTTGTTACGACACGAAATTATTCAAATTTTTTCAGATAAAAACTGTTAGTTGATTGATCGTTCGAGAAATTACTTAATCTGCTTTTTCTTGCTTCATATTTTTTGCAATATGTCAAATGCGCAATTTATTTATTTATTTTTTTGCCGGCATTCCATTATTCCATAATCAATTTATTTGTCTTAATTCTTTTGTCTAATTAGCATAATTTTCATCTCAAGTTTCTTAGTAAACTCCATCATTTTCATTCTCATTTGTTATAAAACACATTGTAATATTGGCTCTTTTTTTTTTTAAATCATCTTCATAAAAAAGAAAAAAAACTAATTTTTTTCTATAATATAATGGCATTTCTTAAGGGTTTTTTTGTTTTTTCTATATCATTTATTTTTGTTCTTCTTAATGGAATAAATTGCATAGACATTTATCATGAATGGATTGTTTCCATTGACACAACTATTAATCCTCTTACATCTCATCAGTCTGTAAGTGTTTTTCTTAATTCCATTTTCTCGATTTTCGTGTGATACTTTCATTTTTTGTCTGTCGGCCTAAAGAGCTCGTTTAATTTAGATGAAAATTTTCAAAAGTCTTATTTCTCCTGGATTAGTCAAACACTGTCGTATAAATTGAGACAGAGAGTGTAGTGATCGTGTGTTTATTTATCGTTCCTTTTTTAGTCGATTGATTTAACAAAAATTGAGTGACAAACTTATGTTATATGTGAACAGGTTATCACTATCAATGGGATGTTCCCTGGACCATTGATCAATGCCACAACTAATGATGTTGTAATTGTAAATGTCTTCAACAACATAGATGAACCCTTGCTCATAACATGGTAGGTAGAATAATCTTCTCGATAACGACGTTATTTGTTTGAATAACTTTTGACTACTATATATATATATATATAGCCAGATGTTGTTACAGAGAACATATAATATAACGTAATATGTTTGGATTGGCTACTATAACGAAATGTTGTTTAATATAACGTAACATGAAAACATGGCCTTTTCTCGGGGAACGTTGTTATACATGATGACTGTTACAGAGAGGTCTGATCATATATTGTGATACTTTTTCTATAGGAATGGAATTCAACAGAGGTTAAATTCATGGCAAGATGGAGTTTCTGGTACAAATTGTGCAATTGAACCTGGAAAAAATTGGACATATGTGTTTCAAGTTAAAGATCAAATAGGCACATTCACTTACTTTCCTTCAATAAACTTTCACAAGGTTGCTGGAGGATATGGACCTATACGTGTCAATAATCGCAACGTTATAGCTGTCCCGTTTCCTAAACCAGAAGACGAGTTTGATCTCCTGATAGGCGACTGGTTCCGTACTGATTACAAGGTGATCAACACTTAAAATCTCTATACTGAATTGCGTGACCATCTCATCAAAAAGCTTAAGCTGTTACAGATAGTCCATGTTATTTACTTATATTACATCATAGACACCCGCCTCCCTTCCCCTCGTGTGACTATCTCATCTAAACGCTTAAAAATTGTTAGAAATAACATATGTTTACGTCCTAGCTGTTTCATTTCCTAAACCAGAACCTGAGTTTGATCTTCTGATTGGTGACTGGTTTCGTACTGATTACAAGGTGATGAACACTATAGCTCGTATGTTGAATCATACGACTATCTCATCTAAACGGTAAAGTTGTTAGATAAAGCAACATGACCGCTCATGTGACTATATGCTCTGATACCATGTTGAATTATATGAACATTTACTTAGTTATATCTTTGACCTTTTTTTTTTGGCTCGTGCACCTTGCTAAAAGCAGTCTCTTAGATCCTCTATACAAGACAAGCAATCGAATCAGTTCTTTGATATCCCCGATGCAATCTTGATGAATGGTAAAAGACCTTACGATGAACTCTCAAGTTCGAATAATCACAAGTCTTTTACTGTAACAAAAGGTGAAAACAGAAGAGTTCTTTTTTTTCTTATTGAATTTGATTCTTCTTCACCTGATACGATCATTTCTATCGTATTTTGCATATATAGGAATGACTTACAGATTCAGGATATCGAACGTTGGAACTGTCATGAGTTTTAACTTCAGAATCCAAAACCACAAAATGGTTTTGGTTGAGACAGAAGGTTCTTATACAAATCAGATAACACTCGACTCTCTAGACGTGCACGTTGGCCAATCGTATTCTGTTCTTGTTACTGCTGATCAAAATGAAGCTGATTATTACATTGTAGCAACTCCGAAAATGTTCAGAAGTAATGAAACTCTTGAAGGAATAGGGATACTGCACTATGCCAATTCTTTAACAACAGTTAGTGGTTCTGTTCCTGATGGTCCCGAGCCATTTGATATCGCGTTTTCAGTCAATCAAGCCAAGTCTATCACGTAAGCATTACTTGTAACGTTATAGTCGACCCTAAGTAGTATGAAACTGAGACGTAGTTATTGTTGTTGACATGTTTTATTAGGTGGAACTTGACAACAGGAGCTGCAAGGCCTAATCCACAAGGAACGTTTAATGTGTCAAACGTGACGTTGGCTCAAACCTTTATTCTTCATGGATCGAAGAGTGAAATTAATGGTTGGACGCGATATGTAGTCAATAACGTGTCCTATTTCACACCCGATACACCATTGAAACTCGCGGACATGTTCGTGAATGGATCTGGTGTATACCAACTAGATCAATTTCCTACTCACTCTGTACATGATTCTGCTTCTTATGGAGTCTCTGTTGTCTCTGGAATCCATAAAGGGTGGCTAGAAATCGTCTTCATAAACGACCTCGATGTTATGGATTCTTGGCATTTGGATGGTTTCGGGTTCTATGTTGTGGGGTAAGCCTTATCCTCCAGCAACGAAACCAGGAATTTCACTAAGGGTGTTCATCGTTTAGTACTATTTTGAGTTATACACGTTTAAGTTTCAAATAAAGGATATTCAACTGACTACGCTTCACCCTATGTTTCTACAACACTTTCTTATACATTCTTCACATACATTATATCAAAACTAAGGCATGTTTGCACATAAGCTACATACAATACCCCGTCTTTGCTAGACAGAACGAAATGGACATATGAGTGACGATTAATATAGCTTTTAACGTGTTTTTTTTTTCAGATTCGGGAATGGAGATTGGACACCAGCAGCACGTGAAACATACAACATCTTCGATCCTGTTGTTCGTTCAACTGTTCAAATTTACCCTGGAAGATGGACAGCAGTTTATGTTTTTCTTGACAATCCTGGAATGTGGAACTTGAGATCACAACACTTGAAGAATTGGTACTTAGGACAACAACTATTCATTCGAGTTTTCGATGATAACCCTAACCCTGCTAAGGAGAGAAAACCACCTCAAAATCTTCTTTTATGTGGTTAGTGAAATCAAATCCTTATACTAAGGTTCCTCAGCCAAAAATATTTACATTCGTTAGCTAATATACATAAATTATACGCTAATTATACATATATTATACATCTGTTGGGTATGTTTTTGTCTCGATGAACGACTATTTAAGTTAATTTCTTCTTCTTGTTCTTATAGGGATGTTTGAGAGTTCTATTTCACCTGTTCCAAGTCCAGCTCCAGCTCCACAAGAAGGATGGTGAAATGAGTTACTATTGATTACATGAAGTTTCTTGATTTTAATTTCTATTATGGTATCTTAAGTAACATTTACATTTAAAATTAAGGTCTTGAGGCTTAAACATTATTGAATTTGGTTGCCTTTATTCTTTTGCTTATTGTTAATATAAAAGAGTGACAAATAAAGATAACAAAATAGGGTTAGAAGAGTTACAACCACCATTACAACTATGTCTCGATCCTAAATAAGTTAGGGTCGACTGCATGAGTCGTGACTATGTCATGATTGCACCACAAGTTAGGATGTGAAACACCGGGTAAATGGCACTAGTCAAACTACTATGATAATAGTACACAATCTTTACATTCTCAGTATATATAACTTAAAATTCTTAATACTTTTTTTCCAATCTTTTTGTACTTTAATATGGAACATCAATAAAGCTAGCTAGGTATCACTAATATCATAAACTATAACTACATTAAACTTTAGTACTTACAACTTTAATTAGCAATGTATGAAATTCATGAGGAATAAAGTTAAAGAATTTTTAACAATAAGAGATGAAAGAGTGATGGTGACTCCCATTTACTTTTTGACAATATCCATGTAAAATCGCGATTGTTTGCGTTAAGGAAAAAAAAATAAATGAATCATTGTATACGCAACCTGTAAACTCAAAACTCTGAATCCGTCTCTGAATGTGTGTCAATAATGACAATCAATAAGTTGTGGGGTGGTGGATAAAACAAGTGTTGTTTGTTGTTGTTCTTGTTGTTGTTCTTGTTGTTGCTTTTGTGCTTGTTCTTGAGGATATTTTGGTGGATGTTGAAGATTTCTTGATTGATTTTGATAATCTTGTGGTGCTGGAAGATTAAGATCTAATGATAATCCATTTCTTGGTTTCTTCAAATTATAATTAGCATATTCTTGATCAATACTTAAAGGGCTTAAACACAAAATTGTATTGTTAATATTAGCACCCCCTCTATGTCTTCTCATGTGACCACCTAATGCTTGTCCTGAGGTAAATTCAGCACCACAATATGAACATTTGTGGATTCTAGGGGATTGTGATTTGTTGTAATTTGGACTACTTTCCATATTTATATTGTTGAATTGGGATGAAAGAGGAGATAATGTTGGTGACAATTTGTTGTTGTATTTGTAATTTGTCGGTGTTGTTGTTGCTGGTGGTGGTGAAAGTTCGTCTTGGTCTGAAAAATAGAAGAATGGATGTTTTTTCGGTTCGATTGTCAATGGCTTAGGTTTTTTATGACTTGCTCTGTGTCCACCTAGTGCTTGAAACGATGAGAATGTCCTGTTACATGTCTTGCATTCGTACACGTACGTACCGACCTTGGCACCATTCCCGAGGTCGGTTGTTTCCACATACCTCTTGCTATTGAATTTTGTTTGGTACAACCCCATGTCATCATTGAAAAGATCAAAGAACTTTTTAGGTGGGGTCTGACGACGGTGATGATGATGATGACCACCTTGGGACAAGAGTATGAGACACTTGGCGGTTTCTTCTTCTTCCTCCGTGGGGACATCATCATCATCAAGGAAGTTTTTGCCCGAAGTGGTACAGGGTGGACTAGAATCATTATTATTGTTGTTGTCGTCGTCGTTGACTTCTTCTCCGTTAACCGTGCCATCGACGTTCGTGTCGCCGGTTAACGATGAATGTGCATTATTAATGGTCATGAAAGTGATTAGAGATTGTGGCCTAACACGTTTAGTGCGTTTGCCCTTAGAGACTCCACCCATCACTTCCTCTTGAGGAGCCTCCATCTCTATTTTATTCAATGCGAACGTATTAAAAACATGAAATTGATAAAAAAACAACAACAATAATAACAATAACAACGTAACAATGACTCCTCCCCCCTAAAAAATTAAAAGATTAAAAAGGCGGGGGGATCGAATGCATGTAAAAACAAAAGAGAAAACGAAAGAAAATAGAGAAAGCGATGAGGACGGAGAGTAGAGGGTTATGAATTTGTGTGTGTATATATAATACACAAACACTTTATAATATACACCAAAAATAGTGAAATGTAGGTTTTTAGAAGTAAAAAAAAAGAAAAAAAGAGAAAATTAAACACCATTAATATAATTACTGAATTAGAATGATACTAACTGAAAGTATAACCAATACTTTTGGAGAAAGAAATTAAAAATGAGTGGTAGATAATGAGAGAAAAGTGGAGAAAACGCGTTGTAATGCAATACACATCGATCAGATAATTTGATCGTATTTGGCTGAACACAAACTTTAAAAAGTTAAATTATGAGTATTATAATATTTGACATATTAACATTATATTACAAGATAAAAGATCTAAATGAATCTCTTAAGAAGCATGTTATCACCTAGTAATGTGATTAATTAAAATGGTAATCATGAAGTAATTATTTTGTTTCCATAATACTTTATTTTGATGGAGGAGTTGAGGACACTTGTATAGATTATATTGAGTTTAAATATATAGGAGAAATTTAATTATTTTTTTAAATATATTAGGCTACATGTATTACTATGCTAGTAGTTTCTAAATAGTATTATAATTCCACTAATGACTCTTAACTAGTCTAGCTAGTAAGTTGAATCAATATGATTTTTTTTAAGAAGCATTTTAGTAATATTTAACATTTTTGAAAAAAAAAAGAAGAAGAATTTATATATAGCCTTTTCTTTTCAAAATTAATATTCATTCTATTAAATGAGTCGTTTAAAAGAGAGAAATGATATTTTGTACAATCAATCATAAATTATGACTAGTATGTACTTCTTCCATTCAATATTGTTTGTTATCGTTTTTATTTTTAGAGTTAAACTATAAAAAAAATTTGACTAACATTTTGAGATGAATTTTTTCATCATATTTATAGTACTTTTCATATAGTTTTAGAATATATTAATAGTAACTTTTTTGTTTAAAATATCAAATTAATGTGATCTAATTTATCTTTGAAAATTAGTCGAATTGACTTTCGATAAGCGTAACATGACAAACAATTCCGAACAAAGCTGGATGATGATCGAAAATCTTAAAAGACAGATAAATAATTAATGAGTATTTTTCCGAAGATAAACAATATTTTAAAAAAATAGATAATATAAAGTGTATGATAGTTCATGCATTTTCCAAGTGGCATAATTTGTTTGTGGATCAAATATTATTATTATTATTATTATTTGTATAAGAAGAATATATAAAGAAATATAAGTCAAAGGGAAGTTTGTGTATTGCACGTAAGGAAGTGCTTTATGACAAGCAAAAGGATTTAAGTTGATGTTATAAGCCACTTCTTCAACACTAAAGATTTAATACAAAACATAATCTTTTTTTATATTATTCATTGTTTTGGAATCATATCAATACATTGAAACATCTTTGTTTTCCTTTTCTTGTTTTGTTTTTGATTTGATTTTTCACTCGTTGTTCAGTATTTGTTTTGAGATTCGATTAGTCTAGATTTGTATCGAGAAATCCCACTATAGGGGTTAAATCGCTCCTTACGAAAAATTTGCTTCATTTCCAGGACTTTTGAACCTAAGATCTATGATTAAAGATGGAGAAAGACTTGTCGTTTTTACCGCAATCGAGGGTGATAGATTGAAATAATCATTTTTCATTTATAATTTAGTGTTCGATATCCGTTTCAGGGTCCGATTAGTTGAGATTCGCAAAGAAAAATACTACCGAAGGTGATGAATTCTCGCGGCCCCCGTTTAAAGATGAATGAATACTTATCACTCGATCACAACCCTTGATAATAATAGCTTGAAATAGAGCATTTTATTTTTGTTTCTCACTCAGTATTCAGTACTTGCTTTGCGACCTAATATAAATTTAAATTCGCGCCGAAAAATTTTACTCTATACGTTAAATTAATACTCCCTGTCAAAGACAACTTCATTCCTAGGCTCGTTAAATGAAAAAAAAAAGTAGTATAGTGAAAGAAAGTCTTGTACAAACACATTATGACTTGTGCATCTATCGATTGATGATGTAAACACCAAATGCAGGTAAGTTTCGACCGGTCGTTGGTCCTTTATTTTTTATGTGTTCACTAATGATATAACATGATAAAACTTACAAGCAAATGAAGAGAATGACAAGTCAAATTGCCAGTAAAAGCCCATACTTTTACAACAAAAACAACAAAATTATATTGGGCTCTTTAAGCATGGTTTGGCCCAAATCAAGGCCTTCCATGCATGATAGTTTTGGGCTTTGTCAGCTATCAAATTTTCTTTTTTCTTTTTCCTTTTATCCATTTTTATATTTCGAATTTATATTTTAAAAATATCGAATGTAGCATAGGGTAAGTATTTTATTTTTCTATGTTGTTTCTTATAAAAAAACATGAACAATAATATCATATCGTATTAAAAAGCGTTTTGAGTATATAAACTCAACAAACTAGCATACGAGAGTTGATGATTCTTAAGGACGAGTATGAAGATAACAAGGAGTGTAATAATTCGACGTTGCAACCAAAGCTAAAAAATAAGGTTAGCGGGGAAAAATATATAAAACGTACAAACAAAATTTCATATTGATAATAGATAAAGAAAAGAAGTGTTATACATATAATACACAATAGATATACTCTAAGTTTGTTGGTCATTTTTTGAGAAAATCATACATATGGAATTAATTAATAGTATCATTTTTTTAATAAAAAAAAATGGTATATATAAAAAGTGGATTTATCTGATGATAAATACGCTATTTTATTTCTATCGTTTGAAGGATGAGAATCTTTGTATTGACGTAATTCAAAGAACATATCATCGAAAGTTTACTTCTTTTTTTTTCTTTTTGTTAATTCCACGATAGATATGTATTGTTAGAGAATAAAAATTGATACTTTGATTCAAAGAGAAATTAAAGCAAAGTCCAAGTTGCACACTTTTTTAAAAGACAATTTTAGGTGTTTTCTTTTTAATATATGTTTTGATATTTTTGTGTCTCAAGGTAAATGCATGATAAAATTAAAGCATAA